CAGAGGAGTTGCTGAATGATGTCATCTGTATCCCAATTGATCAATCGATGAATGAATGCTGATAGTGTTTAATATGTTCAGTATTTTAAATATTGTAGGTAATGGTGGTGCATTGTAGCAGATGTGTGAGAAAATGTATTTCAAAAAAAGTAAACAAATGGCAAGTTTCATATTCAATCTTTCTATTTCAACAACCAATGTCCTGGACTAAAAGTTCTCAGAATTAGTTTTCTAAATGCAGTAATATAGACTAACATGACATCTATTAACCCCAGTTTTAACCTTAACAGGATCTTCCACACCTCAATCTTCAGTCAGCTTAGATAGAGATACACTGTCTCTAACTTCAAAAAGCAGTGAAGAGAGTGACTGGTTTAGTCCAAAACGATTCAGAAAGGATGATGATGATGAGGCGTCACAAAGATCACAGGCCAGAGATGTGAGTCCCAGTAGCCTTACACAGACACTGGGGGTTTTACTCATAATAATAATATTCAGTTTCATTAATGTTTTTTTTTTTTTACATTTTTTTTAATGTTTTTTTTTTTTAATTTAGATATTACTGCATTATCTTCTCTCGTAATAGTATCTGTTAATATTCCTCTTTTTATAGCTGATAAAACAAATTCTACAGACAAGACCAGGTGGAGGAAATGTGCTTAAAGAGTATGAAGATACAGGGACAATTAGTGATGACACGAGGAAAGTGATGGTGAACATCTTAGTTGCACACATGATGGAGACAGAAGGGTAATTATAAAAATATAATTCAGTCTTGCATTATTCAGTTTGTTAGTGATTTTGATGCTATATAGATTGTGAAGTATATATATGTAGTTGGGTGCTACTTTCTAATTTGTTGTATTTTTAATTAAATGTTCTTAAACATTTCCTATCAGCGTAGAGTAACATTGAGTGTTCCCATTCTTCAGAAGGGTCCCACATCGTCTTGCCAAACAGAAGTATGGTTTGGGAATTATCACCTTGTTTCCCTCACTCAGAGATCCCCAAGGGAGGACTGGATATGTAAGTCATTATCACTGATCAGAACATTCAATATTTTGTGCTCCTTTAGAAATGTCTTAAGATTAGGGCTGCACGATAAATCGCATGCGATATTTAATGCGCACATATGTTTATTAATGTTCATATATGATCATGGTTTAGCGCAGCTTGTCAGTGAACAACGGCTCTGTGTAGTAAATGCTGCTCCACGTGAAAGCACGCAGGTGATGAGATTTACCGCTGATTACAGAACCGGCTTTACTGATAAGATGCGCGTTAAATATCGCATTGATTTATCGTGCAGCCCTACTTAAGATGTCATTTTTAATGGAGGGTTACATTTAGAATTTGTGTCATTTCAACAGGAACATTACTATGATGGCCAAAAAAACACTGGATTCTTGTCATGGCGTCTCAAGACAGTACAAAGGGGGACAAGACCTCCTGGAAATAAGGATGATCCAAAAACAGAAGAAAAGGGAGGTCCTTTGCTTGACAGACAGCTATGTTACCAAGAACATCAGCTGGATAATGATCAAAGTGTAGAGGCCATCTCTTTGATGAATCATACAAGCGAACGTGAGGTCATCATGCAGAAGATGAAGGCAACGTTTGAATACAGACAGCACCTTGTCCATGATCCAGAGGGATCCACCACCATTCTCTCAGTTTTCCCTCGATTCCTGGACTCTAAAGGATTGGTATGGATTTTCTTTCCTTTTTTACAAAAATTGAAATGTTAGGTTCAGAGAACTGTCAAATGGTCGTTGTTTAAACTGACTACATTTAGCTTGTCAATATATTATAATTTCTTTACGTGTTTTCTTCAAACTGCTTCAGATTCTTCAGGACTTTACACTCCTCTTTGGGTCAGAAACTGCTTCCAGACTTTTGGAAAGGTGGCAAACTGTTTTCAAAGCAAAGGTTGTCAGACTAGGAGAAACCTTGACTTCCACTCCACTGCTGAAAAGATTACGGTCATCTGCCAAACAGAGCAAAGAAAGCAGCGAGGCACAGGATTCCCCAGGTGAAACTTGCAATGACTTTGCAGTGAAATTATACTATACACAACTTATTTTTGTGTAGACATTTAACAATGTTCTGTGTTTTTCAGAATGGGACAGTGATGTATCATCCTTCCTTCTACTTTTGCATCTCCTATCACCCCAGGCTTCAGGAAGAAAGAAAATCCAAAGGATCAGTATTTCACAGGCTATTGACCATCTGGTGGTGTTTCACAAAGTAGGTAACTGGTACACTGGTGCCAAAATACAAGGGCTATAAGCGTTACACTTTGAATTGTTTCAGTAATTTCTTCATCTTATATTTCACTATTAGATAAACTGTAAAATGTTAATATAGTAAGTTGATCAAATTAATCTAAATCTAAACTGAAATTAACAGTTGTTCGGTGCATGGCCTGTTTTGTTTTGGAGTGTTTCCCGATCTTTACGATGTGCAAATAAACTAAAAAGTCTAAAATAAATGTTAACTGATAAAGCTGTATTTATTAATTTATCATTATTATTGATAGACTTAATTTTTTCCCCCCATTTAGGCATGTCGGAGTATCCAGGAACACCTTGAGCTGGAAGAGAATCGTCAGCCATACATTCTTGCCTCAGGGAGCAGCAAGGAAGCCATCAGTCACTACTTCATTGTGGTGGATAAAAAGCTCATCCCCTGTCAAGAATCCTCTTCACTGGCAGCCATTGATGAACTCTTCAAGGTTCATTTTGTTTTCAGCCTCAGTTATGATCCTCCACTCAAAAATTTGTACAATTTTCTCCAGACTACAGTGTACAGAATTGATGTTGGCACCACAAGTGAGAGCCCAAGAGTAAAGGAGCTCAGAGCTAAGTTTTTGAATGATGTTTAGATGCTACATCTGTAAATCACTGTTTGCTACAATAGCTAAATTAATTCGGCACCTAAAACTTGTACATGGTTTATATCCTGGTCATTTGGCACCTAAAACTTGTACATGGTTTATATCCTGGTAAGAAATTTG